ATGGCAGGCCCAACGAAGTTTGTTGCAGCTGCCATGGCACAGCTCCAGTAATGCGTTCGAAGCGCCGCACACGGCGAACTCACCGCACAGCAGACGTAGCAAGCGCTGAGGGCACTTAGCAGCACTGCATCTGCTTTGCAGCTGCAGAGAACCCGACTTACTAAGATGGACTGCGTGTACGATAAGGCTCCTAAAGGGCAGCAGCGTTGACCTCGCCTTTTGCCAGGCGTTGTGGAAGAGCGAGTCCAGAAAGAGGAAAAGGAGGGCGTTAGTGGTGAGCACAGTAGACAAATGAGGACAGCCGTTGAGAGGAACACACCAAAGCCACCCCCGTAGAAGGGGTGACGATTAAGACGGCCGTTATTTTCAGACACAGTTCGACAACAAACAGTCAACGCCACGCAAACTGGTTCTTAGGAGAGCCGGACTGAACTCTGCTGCAAACGGTGCCACAGCGTGCATCCTTTACCATCTGGCCCGTCTTGTGGCCTGCTTGGGTTGTGTAGTGGCCACGGNGGTGCCACAGCGTGCATCCTTTACCATCTGGCCCGTCTTGTGGCCTGCTTGGGTTGTGTAGTGGCCACGGGAGAGCTGTCCCTTGGGTGCTGTGGGCTGTGAAATACTTGACTGCGCCGCTGCCTCTCTGGTTTGCAATCTCCCGGGTGTTTGCACGCACGGCAAACACACACGGCAGCTCTGTTTGAAGACCCAGTGCCGTGTTGATTTTGCCACTGTTTGATGAACACTGCAGCTAAGTAGCCCAAATGCAAGGCACGACAATTTCAATGATGCTCTGTGCCTCCGCGTGCAGCGGCGGGCAGTCAGCGCAAGCCTTCAGGACTGCAAGCCCGTCAGCCCGGAGAAGAGCATTGCAGCAGCGGATCATCACAGAAACATGAGCCGGCTTGTTCGTAATAAACGCTGCATCTATCTCTCGGAAGAGCTGCTGCAGCTGCTGCAACAGCCCGCGCTGCTCCTCTAGCCGCGCGGGGTCAGCTGCACCACGCTGCCGCTTCTTCTTCTGACGCCGAGGCTGCGGGGTTGCCTCTCCTGCCTCGTCTACTATTGCGGTGTCTCCAGAAGGTGCATTTACTGCAGCTGGCTGTTCCTGAACTTCATCTGCTTCCCCTGCCGCCGCCACGTCTGCTGCGACTTCTTTCTCTGAGTCGCTGCTGCTGCTGCAAAAAGCCCTGCTAACGTCTGTTATTTCGTGCAGCCGCTCAAAGAGACGGGAGCAGCGGGCCTCCAACTGCTGTTGCTGCTGCTGCAGTTCAGGCGACAACCCGGCTGCTGCCCGTACTTCCTCGACGGCTCTCGCTCTGTCGGCTGCAGCAGCAGAAGCACACCACACCGTTACAGCACATTGTCGCCCACAGCCAGATGGAAGCACTAGAGCTGATACTGCTGCTGCTGCTGCTACCGCTGCTGCGACTGCAGGAGCTCTAACTCACCGACATCCTCACTGGAAGGATACAGGCAGGCGTCTTCGTCGTCGCCCAAGTCGTCATCGAAGTCAAGTTGGTGGGCAGTTGTAGGGTGGGTCTCCTCACTGCACCAACTGCTGCTCCAGCGGTCCTTCTGGTGGGGCCATTCCATCTCTACTGAAGACAGCTTTGATTGATCACGACGCAAGGGCGACTTCTGCGGGGCCCCACCCCCGCGTGGTGGGTGCAGTCCAGCAGCAGAGCAGTCCTGCTGCCCTCGCTGCTCCTCCCGCTGAAAGCTGCATTGCAGTTGGTTCTGGAGCGAGTGGACATACACCTTGCAAGCAGAAATAGCCACGATAAACACCACGGCAAGGCAAATGCTGACAGCCAACAGGACGTACAGATTGCGCTGCTGTTCCCACTGCTGCTGCTCCTGCTTCTGCAGTTTCTCCTCCAGCTTCCCCTCTAGAAAAGCTACATAAGCCTCGAGATCTCTAAGGGTCCTGGAGTTGTCATCATTCCCAACAGCAGCAGAGCAACTGCTGCTCTTGTCGCCTGCAGCACTGCATGCCCCAGGTGCTGAAGCGGCGGGTAGCGAGCCCTGGGAACTCGACGCAGCATGAATGAATGTAATAAGGAGAAACAACCAGCAAGTCAACATCCTCCTCGACAGATATCGTGTGTGGTCTCCTCTGGAGGCGGCTGCGCTCCACAGCTGTCCCTGCCGTCGCAGCAGCAGTGTAACAGCATAGGCAGCTTCTCCACACTCTACCAATTTGACAACTAAGGAGAAATAACAAAAACTGGAATTTCTGAGACGTGTTTAGCCCCAGTCGGCCCAACCGCCACCCCCCTTGGAAGCTGAACTGTCGGTGAGGACAGTAAGTGCAGAGCACGATNCCAGTCGGCCCAACCGCCACCCCCCTTGGAAGCTGAACTGTCGGTGAGGACAGTAGGTGCAGAGCACGATGATTAGGAAGACCAAAGAGATACATAAAATTCGTATTCCTCTAAAGGAAAAAAAAATTGAAACAGCGATGATTTAACTAAGCATGAGCTCAACGGTGGCTGTCTGCGTTCTCCGCAGCAGCAATGCCAGCTGCTGTGGCTGCCCATCTGCGTTAAACGTCCTTCCCCTCCCTTGTAGCTCTTTAGTAAGAAAACTCGGCTTCTGCACCTAAGTATCTAGACGCACGTCTCATGAGAGCAACAAGAGTGATGGGTACGGCTGATCGCTACCCCACCGTCTGTGTGCCGCCAGGGATTGTGGTGCTACTACAAGAAAGCAGATGAGAAGGTTTTAGAAGCTAATGGGCGTCCTCACCAACTCCTTGAGGCAGTTGTTGGAACCCTATCTAGTTTCTAATTCCTTCGAATCTAAGCCTGTATCGACATCCTCTGGTCGTGCGCGCTAGCAGGGTGTCTGTAGCGAGGCCTGCCTGCAGTTAGCGCAGCAACATTAACTTGCTCTTGGTAGGTTGCCTCCAAGAAATAAAAATGGCCTATAAGCGTATGCAGAGGTAAAGGAAGCTTCGTTGAAGCTTCCTTGTGCTCACGCGCGAGGCTGGCTTGCATCACCAGCTGCGGCGTGGTGCACTGCACATACAGATAAACTGAGCTCCTCCCTTGCAAGCCAAGGCCCTGAGGTGCACGGCCAGAATGCCTGGAGACAGGGGACTGCTTTAGCAAAAGTCTTACCGCAAGCCATTGGTTTCACTACAGTTCTTCGTACGCCTTGAATAAGGCCTGAAAGCACGCTTTGCAGTGTCGTGTGTGTGTGTGTGTGTGTGCGTGTGTGTGTGTGTGTATGTGTGTGTGTGTCTGTGTCTGTGTGTGTGTGTA